TTTTATACAATCATGGATGAGTCTCAATTATAAGTTAAATCACTTACCATGTACTGAGAAGCTCAATTAAACCTGATATGAATAACGGTGAAGCGCTCTGCTAACAGATTTAATCTCTTTTGAACAAAATATTAGAATTTTTTTCAAGACAGTAAAACTTTTTCGTGAATATTTGAATTTCCGGTTAACGGAGAGTCTTAAAATGCTCGTTTCTTTAAGTCATTACAAAAATAATTAGTCTCCATACCAATGACGTTCATGAGTTTATGCTGATTACTCCTTCCAGTTATTTTCCAAGATACGAGTAAGCAGAAGTCACGCATATGGGTAGTAGTAACGACAACAATAAATAATATTTTATTATTATTGCTATTAAATCGACACGTTTTGACGAAAGCATACCTATTTACGAGGTGTGTTCAAAAAATATCGCAAATTTTGTGTTTTTTCAAAAATTATTTATTTATTCATGAATATCTATTTTGTGCCCTTCAAAGTAATCCCCATGAGATATTATACACTTGTGTCAACGGTTTTTCCAATCTTCGAAGCACTTCAAAAAATCATTTTCATTTATCTTGTTTAGCTCCTCCTTCGATGCCGTCTTTATCTCGTCAATCGTAGCGTAACGTCGTCCCTTCATGGGCCTCTTCAGTTTAGGGTACAAGAAAAAGTCACAGGGGGCTAGATCAGGGGAATACGGTGGCTGCGGCATCATTAGGCGTTATCGTGGTGCAAAAGCCAATTTTTGTTCTGCCACAAATCCGGGCGTTTCAGGCGGATTGCTTCGCGCAAATTGCGCATAACTTGCAGGTAATATTCCTTATTGACCGTTCTCGGGCTCGGGCGTTCGGCACGCTCTTCGTCGTTCACATCTTCTCGGCCTTCTGAGAACATTTTGTACCACCGATAAATGTTGCTTCGGTCCAAGGTAGCTTCTCCGTATGTCACAGTCAAACAAAATTTGATACAGGTTCTTTGATCCATTTTTTTTTGAATAGGTAAAAATCGAAGACCATCCAAAACAAGTGCAAGCAAAGCAGCTGTCAACAATTAAGTGAACATTCAAAATGGCCGAGCTTGTCGGTATAGATGACAGACATGAGTACCAACATAACGCCACAAAAAAATCGAAATTCGATTATACGTAACCCGCGAAAATTCAAAATTCGCGTTACTTTTTGAACACACCTCGTATATACATATATACATATATAGATGTATTTACTAACGTTGAATACTTATAAATATTGAAGATTTTGTATTGTTATTTATTAAAAAAGTCGTCTTATTCTATGTACATACATATGTATATAAAAGAAAATGTATAGATATATGTATTATAGCAATGCAGCATATAGACTCCGAAACTACTCTGTCAGGGTAGGTTCTTTGAAATACGGATATTGCTGTGTTGTACGTTTTTGAAAAATGTATCACCTGTGAGAGAAATAAAAGTTATTTATATAATAGACATATATGTATGTATAAACATGGTGACTGCGATAGACTAGTGGTTAGCATTCCGTACTGCCATTCGGAAGTTCAAGTTTTGGTCTGATCACCCTCGGCAGAGATTGTAAGCCCCGCTGATTATATTTCTGACATGAAATAAGGATCTTCGTAAAAATCCATCGACCGTTCGGAGTCGGCTTCGAATAAATTGATGGTCCCTTTATTTGTTAGAAATATAACAAAAAGCAAACCACAAATTGGAGAAGGAGCTCGGCCAACTGGTCAATTATATAAGGTTGTTAAATATCTCCCTTCCGCTTTTTTGTCTTTTGAATTTCGCGGCTATGTACAAAGCGCTACAGAGCTCGTATCTGGCAACACTATACATAATTTGAAAGGTCTTGACATAACCTACAAAATTAAAGGCAAATCCACTAGAGAAACGTTACGTGAGATTAATGGTGTTTTAGGGGATGGTACTCTATCACTTCGAATCGCGGAGGAATGGTTTCGACGATTCAGAGCCGGTGAAAACGACACCATGGATAAGCCAGCCGGCGGAAGACCTGTGACGACAAATACCGATCAAATCATGGAATACATCGAGTTAGACCGGCATATGGCATCTCGGGACATCGCCCAGGAGATGGGAGTTAGTCACCAAACCATTTTGAACCATCTGTAGAAGGCTGGATACAAAAAAAAGTTTGATGTTTGGGTGTCGCATAATTTGGCGCAAAAAACCTTCTGGACCGAATCAACGCCTGCGATACGCTGCTGAAACGGAACGAACTCGACCCATTCTTGAAGCGGATGGTGACTGGCGACGAAAAATGGATCACATACGACAATATCAAGCGAAAACGGTCGTGGTCGAAGGCCGGTGAATCGTCCCAAACAGTAGCCAGGCTGGGATTGACGGCCAGGAAGGTTTTGCTGTGTGTAAGTGATTATAGCCGAATCAACAAAAGTGCGCAATTTATACCTTTTCTTCGCTGTTTGGCGTCAGTTGGAAATATCAGGTGATCATTCCAAACAAGTGGAGGACTTCGTTTTGCTCAGCTATCACCAGTGGTTACTGCATCAAATACTTTCAAAGCTGGAGTGATTTCATTTATTCGGATGCATAGCTCATGTCAATGTCATTGATTACTCGTCCGAGTGTGCTGGATGTTTGTTGGCTAGCCAGAGGATATTCGGTCTGAGACCGGAAGTTGAAATTTTCTTGAGCCATATGTAAAGAATCTTTTCTAGCCTCTCCCAGGTGAATGACAGTCAAAAACTTTCCTCACATGATCCCATCCTGCGATCCCATCGATCTTTTTGTGAAAAATATTTTTATAGTTCCATTTGGTTGAATTTTTGTGCTAAGTTATATTTTTGCCTAGAAAACCAAATGAACGAATTATACCGTATTTAATGCTGTAATAATATATCTTCGGTTTGATTCAGCTTCAAGGCATCGATATTCGCAGGTTGGATGTCGTTTTCGTATATTTGTGTCCGACAAGACAAACTTCCAGAACAAACTTTAGGGGAACAGACTATAAACTCAGAAACCGAACTTCCGAAGTGGTCGACTTGGATAACTTTCTCACAAGACGGTTTCAAATGCTTGATGTATTGTATGTGATCTCAAAGTATGCTCCATTGCTGATCAGAAACCGAGTGCTAGTTCAAACAGTCGAAGAGGACCATTTAAAAATAATTATCCATCCAGAAGGTTAAATGCACACCACGTAAAATCGAATGAACTGTAAATTGTGGCTTAATCACATTTGCTGCTGACAAAACTGACAAAACGAAAATAACAGCGATGTAGATTATGAATTAACTATGATCTCTGCGAAGAAGCAGTATGCCCCTGGTTAGTTATACGCTGCCACAACTGAAAGACCCGGTCGGTAGGCCATCACCGCCTGCTGATATCTCGGTACACGTAGGACGCTCCAGATATTATTATCGGTCTTGACCTTTTTTTGTTCTTTTTTTTCGGTCTTCCACCATTGACCAGATATTCACCATGCGTTAAACTCTAGTTACTTTGAGCTGAGCAGGCAATTAGGAAAGTAGAGTGCTCTTTTGATGTACGTTGACAAAGCTCCACCAACTGTTCACCATATCCGTGTTGCTGGCAATTTCCGATGAGTCGGTTTCGGGAGTATTTGAGAAAAAAGTTTTACGAACGGCGAATACCGTAGGTGATGGAACGATGAGATGTATAAGATAAACCGGGACTTTGCCATAGTTCAGCGAACAAAGGGACAGATGCTAAGCTAACCATATCGTCTGAATGAATGAAAATATTCCAGCTTTGAAAGTGCTCGGTGCAGTATGCGGTGCAGATGTGAAGTAAAATGTAAGGATCACAAGTAAAAAGTGGTTCATGTGGGATTTAGATATTGTTATTTATGGAGCATATCTACGTATATTCAAACTTTATTTGAGGTTTAAATGCTATCTCTCAATCCCACCTCTAGCTGTCGTGTACACGGTCGTAAGGAAGCATTAAACTGGCTGAACAAGCCTTATATCTTCTGTTCGGCCGTAAAAATGTTATGTATCCCAAGTAGTAAGAGTATAAGAGTACTACAAGTGTGTGTGTGTGTGTTGTATTAAAGTGACAGTTTTTTAGGGTAAAAGCGGAAACTGTTGGCCAATTCTGGACGCTTCGGGTCGATCGCCTGCTTCAAGCGGTCCAGTTGTTCGCAGTAGATGGTAGAATTAAGCGTCTGGCCATATGGGAGCAGCTCATAGTGGATGATTCCCTTCCAATCCCACCAAACACACAGCAAAACCTTCCTGGCCGTCAATCCCGGCTTGGCCACTGTTTGGGACGATTCACCGGCCTTCGACCACGACCGTTTTCGCTTGATATTGTCGTATGTGATCCATTTTTCGTCGCCAGTCACCATCCGCTTCAAGAATGGGTCGAGTTCGTTCCGTTTCAGCAGCATATCGCAGGCGTTGATTCGGTCCAGAAGGTTTTTTTGCGTCAAATTATGCGGCACCCAAACATCAAACTTTTTTTTGTATCCAGCCTTCTGCAGATGGTTCAAAATGGTTTGGTGACTAACTCCCATCTCCTGGGCGATGTCACGAGATGCCATATGCCGGTCTAACTCGATGTATTCCATGATTTGATCGGTATTTGTCGTCACAGGTCTTCCACCGGCTGGCTTATCCATGGTGTCGTTTTCACCGGCTCTGAATCGTCGAAATCATTCCTCCGCGGTTCGAAGTGATAGAATACCATCCCCCAAATCACCATTAGTCTCACGGAACGTTTCTCTAGTGGATTTGCCCTTAATTTTGTAAGTTATGTCAAGACCTTTCAAATTATGTATAGTGTTGCCAGTCTGTACCGCTTTGTACATAGCCGGGAAATTCAAAAGACAAAAAAACGGAAGGATATTTGACAACCTAATACTTTGTTGGTGTGTCAAAACCTATTTCTTATGTATTTTGTTTGTGTAATTTTTTCAAAAAAAAAAATTCACCTTCTATGACTTCGCCTTGGTTGATATGTGAATTTTTAATTTTAGAAAAAAGCATGTTGCAAGAATTGTGGTACACCCTAATGCCTACATATTATATCTTTTGACTAAGTAACTACTACTCGCCACAACTTCAACACATACGGGAGCTTCCCGTTTAAATATAATGAATCGTTATATCACCCTTTCACAATTGGGTGATGGCACATATGGCACTGTGGTGTTAGCTCAACGCAAGGACACTGGCGAGAAGGTAGCTATTAAACGTATGAAACGCAAGTATTACTCATGGGAGGAGGCGATGAATTTGCGAGAAGTCAAGGTAATTTCTTTGATTTATTTGATGATTAATGTCTTGCATTATTAACATAAATACATATTTATATTTACACTCATATACATACATATATTGCAGTCACTCAAGAAACTCTCACATCCGAATATTGTGAAATTGAAGGAAGTAATACGGGAGAATGACACCTTGTATTTCGTGTTTGAATATATGAAAGAGAATTTATACCAAATGATTAAGGACCGTGATACACATTTGCCAGAACCAACTCTTAAAAGCATATTATTTCAGGTAAAACAAATTTGAGAAATCTACTAAGCTTATGCGAGTTAAATACCAAGATGGGTTACAATATGAATTAGCAATTTGAATTTTATTTTTAATTTGAATTTTTCATTATTGCAAGTTTTTATATATGCGGCCATGCTCAAGGATATTCGCTTTTGTCCTTCTTTATCGTTGACTGTCGCAGTTGCATTATTTTGTTAGTTGTGGATCCCTTAAGAAGTGCTCTAGAGACACTTCCTCATATATGTCTCAGCAGCAACGATAGAAGTCTTTAGAGAAATAATCATTTTACCATGAGTCTCCGTCAATCAGTATCTTGTAATTATGCCGGTTGTGAAGTTAACGGATGTGCGGCTTAGAACAGTTAAATACTATTCTATTGTTCGATCGATGGTTAGTTCTCACTTCGATCGATGGTTAGTTCTCACCGCTTACATTGCATGTGATTTCCTTGCGCCTTTTGCTTTTGTCTATTAGTGAAGGCCTATCTTAGTGAGTTTTTTGTCGAGTAGGGGAAGGGGCACGTCGGTTACGGAATTTACCGTAGTTAGCACTGCTCCCATTCTAACCAAATTGTCTATCAACGCAGTTCCCTGGGATGTCTCCGTGTCCGTAAAAGCAAAGCATGGACGTTCTGCATAGAGTCGAGGGTTTGTTTGAAATTTCCCAGCATTTTACTGCCATCACCACCTCAATGGTATGAACGTATTGAAGATACGTATTGGATGAGTGCATAAAATCGTGCCCGATTCCGCTAGATGCCGTTCGAATCGTTTGAGAGTAGCGCTCGGGAAAGAAATATATACATATTTTATATCGTTGGAAAGGTGACAGTCCGAACTGTAAATTAAGCATAAAATAACTTCATTTTAATTTGAGTTGCTTAGTTAAAAGACGCATGGAAGATGGACAACGAAAAAGATCATATGCGTCATTTTATGTTATACGAATTCCACAAAGGGAAAACAGTAGGCGCTGCAACTAAAGATATTCGCGAAGTTTATTTGGACCGTGCTCCAGCACTCCGCACAGTAAAGAAATGGTTCGCGAAATTTCGTTNAAGAGAGGTTTCTCGTGTAACTCTGTAGAACAGGAAGGGTCTTATTTTCGGATTGAAAAGCCAGTTTACAGTGTGAGCTTTAAATAAGTGTTGTTTAAATTCAAATATGTTTCTCGTGCAGAGTATAGTATTTAGGATTTATGTCTGTAACGATTGCAAGATTTTAAAGAAGACACTATCCGTTTTTGTCTAATATAATTTTATTGGAAACTATTTAAACTAATGACCTTAATGACCTTCTGATCTGACATTTCAAATAGGGTCACCATATAATCGTACTTCGAACCAACAATACCTTGACCGCACTCATTGTACCATTAACTTTCTGTGTAGCATTTTGGAGTAGATCAACTTAAATGTGGAGGTGGAGATTTCTTTCAGTTGCTGAGATGGCAATAAAGTTTCTCAGCTTTAGAAGCAAAGTGCTAACAGTGAGATACCATAGAATGGGTGAGCGGATACCGCCCTGCAGGGTTGCCACTTTTCACATACTCAATTGCGCGTGTATGCGTCTCTTATTTCATCGAAGTAAGACCCATTTTTGGAATGCAGTTGTGATGATCTCGGGTAAGGAATTATTAAAAGCACTCTTAAAACCCAAGACAAAGGTCAGAGGACGAGATTTTTCTCAGTCCTTGTTACAATATTATTGCTAAAGATATAAGGATACTTGACCAAAAAACGACTGGAATTGTATGACTGGTTCTGACAGGCTCTCTAAATGTAACATAACGAGGGCGGCAGGATGTTTGTTGCACCCTGTAGTTCGGCGTGTAAAATGACATCCAGGAAATTTAAAAGGCTGGACTGATTTTATTGCTCATTACCTCTTGGGACAACTTTTGACTTTCTCCAGTCTATTTTCCTCAGAATTACTTCCAAGATCAGTACAGAGATATTCCAAAAATTTCCTTTTGTTTTCGTGGAAGTTTTCTTAAAATTTTTTAGACGATCTTCGTTGGATTTTTTGCCTGTCTTCGTTGAGTAGCCTTCGGCTCATTTTCCTGCTATTCGGCATTGAGTTAGTTGAATTTAGTTGAATTTGAAGGCTCAATCTGGCCTAGCTCTCAGCTATTGGCGTAGCCTATCCAGCTGTAGTGTGCATGTTTAACTAAATATTTAAGCTTTTGTGCTGAAACTTCAGTAGCTTTACGGGATAGAGAAATTTGTATATCGGACCTCACAATTTATTAGATTTCAAATACTGTCGAGCTCGTATATGTAGGTCCTTAGAATAAGTTATATGTGGCTGGTTCTGCCAACCTGAAGATTGATGGGTTAGCTTAAAGTGCCTAATAACAGCTCAGATAGGTCACCAAACGTCCCATTTTGATACCACGAAGGAACCCATTACCTCCGACTCGCTTGTCAAACCACCATATGGAGTTGGCAAAACAAAGTAGTCGACGTATCTTCACTCAAGGCTCTAAAGGTTGCCACACTTAAAGAATTCGTCCTACTTTTCCAAAGTGTGGTTTGCTTAGACACTACCATAATGGCGAAAGCGGAATGAAAGTGCTCTTCTTGAATTGAGAATAGAAAACAACCAGATATTATAAATCAGTGGCAATAAGGCTGTTATAAATATTTAAGTGATCTCTTGTAGGGACGGGGATCAAAGCTGTCAAATCAGGTACATTATCCTTCATCCCACTCTTTCTTCTTTAGCCAGGGTTTATACTGGAAAATAAATTATTTAAACCCCATTGCTGACTAAATGACAGTCAAATTAATATTTTTAGTTCGTCAAAGTAATCTTAATGCGTTTAAGACACGCTTGCATATTGTTTCTAACTCTCTGCTCGCGGTGGCACTATTTTTGAGGATCGATTTAATTCATGCATAAACAGAAAGTAACTAATCTAAAAAATTTTTAGGTACTCACCGGCTTGGCGTTCATGCATCGGCATGGATTTTTCCATCGCGACTTAAAGCCAGAGAATTTACTTTGCTCAGGGCCGGAGCTAATAAAAATTGCAGATTTCGGTTTGGCACGTGAGATCCGCTCACGGCCGCCATTCACCGATTACGTATCCACCAGATGGTGAGTATGATAACTTCTAAGTTGTCTTTCGCGGCTCTCTAAGTTAAGTATTGTAAATTTGTTTTATGGTGTGGTTTTTAAACGTGTGGTTTTTAATGAGGCAATAATTTTTTCGGAGTAGATCAGTTACCAGTTAAGTTTACGATTTGGTAATAATGCGACTTACTCCAGAAAAACGTTTGCAAATCGAGCAAACTTATTACTAAAATAACGGTTCGGTTCCCGCGCTGCACCCAAAATGTGGTCGATATAAACATCCAGTAGAGCTGGTAATTTCTAGCAATCATGGCTCGGTTTGGCATAATGTTTACTCTAATGGCAAATTGTCAAAGAGCACCCGAATGAGTCCTTCCGGCATCGGGCGCAACAATTGGCGTTGAATGGACATCCACTTTGAGGAAGATTTCCCGGAAGGATTTTGGTTTGTGGGCTTACACAATCCAACTCCTGCAAGCAATGAAGGCGAACTACCATCAAGCGCCGAACGTTTGGTTAATGCTCAACAATGAAACTCAGTTTTGGTTGAATGGGTACGTTAAGAAGCAAAATTGTCGGATTTGGGGTGATAATAATCTACAAGCCATTATTGAGACGTCGATGTGGGAATAGCTCTTCCATATTTCTACAAAAATGAAGCAGGTCATAATGATTTAGTCAATGCGTAACGCTAAAGACTTTTTCGAACTAGAGGACGTTGACGTGGACGACCTTACGTTTTGTGGAGTCATAAAGAGTCCGAAACGAAAATTGAGCCTCTCGGTTAGAGTTTATTCGAGCTAGCCGCGGCGGTCACTTGCTCGAAATCATTTTGATAACATAATGGCAAACCCTTATCTTTATAACAGAACTAAAATCTTTTTGAAAACCACATGATTTAAAAAGCTCGCTTGATTTTGTATTAATGAGATAATTTGGTGGGAAAAAGAACCCGGGGAAATTCAAAGAAAGATATATTGTACCCTTTTAATGCTTATACCTTTCATAGGTACCGTGCGCCAGAGGTCCTGTTGCATTCCACTGGTTATGGCAGTTCGATAGATTTATGGGCAATGGGCTGTATCATGGCGGAACTGTACACATTTCGGCCCCTCTTTCCCGGTAGCAGTGAAGTGGATCAGTTATTTAAGATATGTTCTGTTTTAGGAACGCCAGAGAAGGTTCGTATTTGTGGTATTTAATTTAATATTAATATACTAAATTGATTATTTGATTTTAGAGCGAATGGCCCGAAGGTTATAGACTGGCGGCGACTATACACTTTCGCTATCCAGAATGTGTAAAAGTGCCACTTAATACCATTGTGACACGTTGTAGTCAGGCGGGCTTGGATTTGTTGGAGGACATGCTGCACTATGATCCGGACAAACGACCGACAGCGCAACAGAGTCTCAAATATGCTTACTTTCATGCACTCAAACGTATTTCGCCCACAGCCGCGACGAATGCTAATGTCAAACTCACGGCTAGATATGCGGCAGCGGCGGCTGCTGCTGCCAATAACCTGGATACGAATTCGATAGTGTTGGGTAATGCTAAAAATGGCGGACAAACGCAGAGTTTATCGAATAATGTGCTTCCGGTGCAGGAGAAACTACAAGTTGTTACTGAGCTCATACAGCAGGGCAATAGACAAAACAACAATAACAATACCGTAAATGCCAATAATGCGATAAATGCGTCAATGAGTAACATTCGGGGTATCAACAATATGTATGCTAAACGTTCGAATATTTCTATAGCACATAACCCCAATCAAATACAAGCACCAAAGATCAGTTTTTTGGCTTTGAATGGCTTGGATGGGAGCCGACCGACAGTACCCTTGCAGTTATCTGCTGTTAACGGTCAACAAAACTCGCACATAATTAATAATGGACAGCTCTCAAATGGCATTAGCAACACAACGAACCGACAATTCCGCGATTCACTTGATGATAATCTCTCTATAAACAGCGGCTCCATACGCTATAACGCAGTTTTGGCGCCGGGCAAACAGGCTTATCTGAATGGTGGCGATTCCGCACTTCATAAACGTTCACAGGAAAATCTCGCATTCACAGAGTCCATAAATGATATCTACTTGAATCGTAACACCGGTCAATTGCAGCCGCCGCAACCGCCAAATGTTTCATTTAATAACAGCAGCAACCCCGTAGGAAATATTAAAGCCGGCGTCATATACTTAGCGAACGGTCATCGGAATTATGCGCTCTTTGAGACAGCTGCGAAGAATGCTAAAAATTCTGCTAAGCTTAATGGTTATTATCTGCAGACACGTCCTAGTTTGCTGAATCTTGATACAGCGGGAAAGGATGCAAAGGTCTATAATATGTTCTCCAAAGTAGTGCCCAAGCAGCCAGCAACAAATAACTATACGATGCGCAAAGGACTCGAACCGAATGCGGAGAGAAGTGATTACTCAAATAATGAGCAAACGGTTGAAAAGTCGCAGTTTGAGCGTAACGGGGAGGAGAAAAATAATGCAGTTCCTACACAAAATGGTGAATTGAGCAAAGATGATGAACTAGATCTTATATTGGGGTAAGTTTGCTATAAATAAATACTTAGCAGATTGTAGGATACCGAGTACTGAGGTATTTCGTGAGAAACTAAAAAAAAAAAACATTTATCTTGCAAAATGTTTTACGGTCTTCTTCTTTGTAATTGGCAAAGATAACGCTTACGAGATTATAGCCGAATCAACAACTAGCGTCTGTCGTTTCTTTTTCTCACAGATCACCAGCTAGTGGAGAACGCTCCAACGGAGTGAATATCTTTTTGTTCTTCCTGTGCTTCTACCATCTTCCATTCGGTGCGACAAAAATACTCTAGTCCTGACTGTATCTAATACTTTCAGGACTAGAGTGTTTTTGTCACACTGTATCAAATACTTACAGGACTAGAGTGTTTTTGTCACACCGAACGGCCTATTCCAGTCAGTAAAACCACTTATCCCCTCCTAAAAACTTCATGAACTGTGTCGGTATATACGCTTATCTAAAGCTCATTATATCGGCGACGGCGGTAGCCGAGTAGTTGGCATTTTTGTACTGCTATTCGGAACGCTCGCCTTCATATCCTAACATCCAAAAAATTATAGAAAATTAATTTAAATACAAAATTAAGTAAAATTTTGTAATTGCGGTCGGCCCTCCAGATTATTTCCTTCATTCCTACATGAGACTTGAAAAATTCTGTAAACCGCACCATAATTTCATAGAATTTTTGAACGTGACCCCTGTTGGCCAGCTTCCGAAGCCCTTCACATTCGCTCGTTGTGATCACTCATAACGCTGCGAGGTAGACATTCCCTCTCTACATTCTTTTTAGGATAAACGTCATTAAATTTTATTAAAATCCATTTATTAGGTTTTGAGCAAAACGACAGTAAAGTAGGGAGTTTGTAACATGAGTCTTTTTTTTTTTTTGATTCTTTAATCTTCTCTTAATCTTTGTCATCGAATTTAGTTTTAAAAATTCCTTCAACTTCTAGCTCTAAAATAAAAACATCAGCCAGACGCCAACGTCAACGTAATTCCAGATCGAACATTTTACTAGAGGATCTCTTCGGGCATCTTTCGCTCGATTCGGATAGTGAAACAACAAAGTACCCGAATACAGTTCCTTTTATGACACATCAACAGCAATCGCTTGCAGAACGTAACTCCAGCTTGCCAAATGGTTATTCGAATGAGAGCTCGTTAAGGGAGCGGAGTAAAATGAAAGTGCCGAGTAGTATCGAAGTAAATAACGGGAGTTATGCGGATTCGCTATCAACAAATGCGTAAGTAAGCTAATCAATTTTATATAATTTTTTTTTTTTATATTACATATATATACTCGTATGTATGTATTTATAAACGCATTATGAGTTTTGAATTTAATTTTTTAAATAAAAAAATAATAATAAATTAATTGCTTGATTGAAAGAGAGGTTTCTGTAGGAGAGATGGAAATAAATTGGAAAAAAATAGTTTTACTTCAAGTCTCATTTTGACTGCGTTTCTAATATACTCACGACTCACAGAATGTAAAGCTCTCCGAGTATATTTCTGACATGAATTTAAAGCTCCTAATAAAAATCCATTGGCTGTTCGAAGCTGGTTTAGAATACGCTGTAGAGCCCCTCACTTATTGGAAAAATATCAAGAAGTAGCCCCAATTATATGAGGTATAAGGGTTGATCATTTTTAAGAACGTTACAGAATTTAAAAATTTCTTTCTAAACGTGCTGGCCCAGAATTTATTACTTTTCCCCAATAGTTGGTGGCAACGAGGAGTAATTTATGCCAATGAGAGGATGGTTAAAAAGTGTTCAACCTACTTAATACCTATCAGAGTTAAATGTAATCATTTTCAGTTGATATAACCATGAATTCTTAAGGGTCCTATGATAGAGCCAACTCTTCGATGTGTCTTGTACATAGAGCTGCGAGTATATGAAGAAGTTTTAACAAATATTTTTTTTCCGAGTCAATATTAGAAGCTCTTCAAGCTCTCTTAAGTCTCATGGAATCTCTCTTGAGAAACAGCACCAACATCACTGAGATTGACAATGCTGGCACGCCGCAAGGAAACGGTTTATCTACACCGTTGCAGTGCCTCACGGTTGATACGACCGACAACTAAGCCGAATGCATTTTGATGTGTTCGTATACGCTGACGACTGTGATGTAACAGTTACAAGGAAACACTTTCAAATTGATGTAGTACCGTAAGTGGGCTCGATGTTAACCTAGACAAAAACGGAAAAATACCTATTTACAAGGAGATATACATAAATCACTCCACTCAACTGGAGGCGGAATACACCGTAAAGGTGAAACAGAGCTAATACTGCAATTTACATTTACAAAAGTGATCCATAGAAAATGATGGAGTCTAAAATCATTTATGACTGGAATAAGATATTGCCAGCATTTGAAAAAACCACCCTCAGGAGTAAGTTAGGCAGAGCTCAGTGGTCGGCCGATATCCTTATTAGGCGATCTCTATCATCGACTCCGGCAAATGCTGCGGAAACTCTCTCCAATTTTCTTTCCCTTGGTATATTTTTAATAGCTGTCTATACTCGGCAGGGTATTCAAGCCGTTTGAAGCTGGCTTAAAAAGCGCTGTAGGTCCCTCCACTTGTTGAAAGAACACAAACACAAGAAATTAGATTATGAGCTTGGCGAAAAGTTAATCTGTACAGCAAACTTCCGGTACGGTTACATGCCGAATAAATTTAAATTTAGCACTCGCATGATCTGGGTACCCGAACTTAGGGTCGTCCCTCGCATGCTAAATCAGGTATGCACGAAAAAGCCAATATCACACGGCTGTTGGATGCTGGAAGATTAAGTCATTTAATCCTCTTAGACGGTTTCTGTTTAAGGGTGCTGTTTAAATGGCTGGCACATTTCTCCAATGATTTTAGTCGTTGCTACAGAAACGAAGAAGCGGAGGCGTCTATTGAATGCTACGAGAGTAGTGTCGAACCAAATGACTACAACTCTGACTTCCCAGAAGAAATGGTTGGCATTAAAGTGGATGCCAATTAAAGGTGCTCCTAAAAAGATGGACGAATGAATACTACCTTTCCGAGTGTCGTGCATTCAGCCGTTTGAAACGTTATATCTCTCACGATTCCCTAAGCTGCAGCATAACAGAAACGGACAAACATGAAAGGAAGAAAATGAAGGCGTTTATAAAAGCGAATAAAGCACGACTGTACGTGGTCATATCCTCAACCTCCCTTTTTACGAAATGGGTCAAAGTGCACTCTTGAAGGGTGTCCCAAAATTTATTCTAGATTGGAATTAAATAAAAAACACCGTCTTGTTGAAATCACACAATGGCCATATCCATACCATCCAAAATGTACTGGGTTATCTTGTCGTTATATCGAGCACCAGTAACAGACACTGCTTGTCCAGCATTATTTGACACGTTGTGGATGCACTTTTTTCACTGTCACATGGTTTCACCGCTTAGGATGATTTTGCTCAAATGGACGACTACTGTGTTTGGCCTCTTCGACGGATCCTGTGTCCCGAATATTTGTCTGACCACATTTTGTTCGACACTTGGTCGACCACCAAGCTTACATTATTCTTAAAATATTTTTCAATAATGAAGACACGTTGATATATCCTGTAACGCTGCATTTTTACTAAGCCTAACCTGTCCAATTTGTTTTTATTTGGAATTGTCAAAACATTGCTGCTTAAATTGCGGCAAGTTTAAATCCCGATTTGATGCAACTGCTGGTCACTACCGGCGCACTTAGGCCAATAGGCTCATTATGAGGCTTCTGTTTTCACCTTCTAAAATGGTCAAACAATTTTCTGTGCCTTATATGAAGACACCGAAAGAAGTGTTTTCCGAGGAAGTTGTGTCGCGCAGTTAGGGCTGGGCAGTGGCAGAGGTAGTGTTCGATGCACTCTTCCTCTTCATCTTCCCTATAACTGCGACAAAAATCATTAGAGTGATAACCCATTATTTTCCCATGAAGCCCCATTTAACAATGACTCGTTATTATGCCTATTGCCACGTTATAGGAGAATCGGTCTAGAAGGATAAGATGTTTAAATTTTTTTGCGTCCAGCTTCGGCCATAACTGTCTTGTCACGTTGCACGTGATCTCGTTCAGCCATATTGTGTTTGCTTCACTGGCAAATATCAGCTTAAGCATGTATTGGGTGGACAGAGGTACGCCAGCATCATGTGTACATTTTATTATGGGTAGAATGGTCCTTCTCTCTCCAGTTCGTTTGTCATGCAATTGCCTGGGATGTCACTGTGTCCGGGTACCCAGACCACTACAGTACTAGATTTAATTGAGAGTTTATTAAGTTTGTTTCTGCATTTTATGGCCACTTTTGGGGCGGTTTCATTACATTGTAAAGATCTGACGGCAGTTTGGCTGTCGAAATATATTGTAACCGATTGTCCATCTGCCGTAGATTTGAACAACCACTCGGCAGCTTCTATAATTGCAAAAGACTCCGCCTAGAAAACGCTACAGGTGTCTGACAGTCTTACGCTCATCTGAATGGGAGAATATATTCCGCAACCCATTTTCATCTCGTGCTTTGAGTTATGTGTGAAGATGGCTCCCTTGATGGAGGGCGTGCGTGGGAAATGTCTGTTGGGCATTCTCGTAGAGAAAAGACTATCTAAGCACATGCTGGAGGTGGTGTAATCCAGCTTTTTGGCACTTCTGCAAGAGATAATATTTTTGTGTGCACTCTAGTTGCGGTCGCCCCTTGGCAGGCAATATCGACCCCGCCGAGTGTATTTCTGACATGAAATTAAGGCTGCTCATTAAAGACCGTCAGCTCATTCGCTTGGAGGCTTCTTAGTATAAACTGTGGGTTCCTCCATTTGAGGGAATAACATTAAGACGCAAAAACGACAAATTGGAGGAGGAGCTCGGCCGAAAATCGCGTCAGTGATTACAAAGCGCCTTCTAAATATATATATACACCCAAATTCTTCCAAGGTTAAGTTACTTTCAAACTGTTTGCATTGCAGCCCGCTTTTAGTTTCCCGTATAGGTCCATAGCTACTAGTTGGTTACTAGTTGGTTAAGTTATATTAGATTAAATTTTAGTGGTTGGGTTAGATTACATGGAAAAGAAAAATTAATGTTAAATAAATAATAATTAAATAAAATTCTGTATAAAAATACAATAGATCACTTAGAAATATATTATATTATGTATCTATTGTATGTAGGTACATACAGTGGCTCAAAATGAACTCGAACACCCGAGATATATGACTTTAAACAAAAAAAAAATATAATAAAATGCAAATCGAGGGCTTTCTGTTTAACACATATTTATATTCTTCAAGTGTATTTTTCAAAACAGCCAAAACCATAAACTAAATTCAACTGATGACAAAAAAGAACTCGGACATGTACATAACATAGAATTTGAAAATATTATTTAAAGAGAAACAAAATATTCTTAATTTTTTCATCGGCAGCCTTTACTTTTTCTGATAGCATTCAGTCTTCTTGGCGAAGATTCAACTAGCTTCTTGCATGTTAAAGCATTTATTTTCCCCCACTCTTCCAAAATAGCGGCTTCTAGGTCTTTCTTATTTCTTATAAAATGCATTTTCAGTTTGTTTTCCAAATGAGCAGATTGAGGAGGTATTTCAAGCACTTTAGGACAGTCATAAATCAACCATAGACGGACATCAAGTGTTTTATGCTTGGTATCGTTGTCTTGGTAGTACTGAAAATTGTCTTTAATTTCCAACTTTTCCGCACTTTGCACTAGATTTTCTTTTAAAATGGTCAGATATTGCTTGTGGTCCATATTATCATTTATGAAACACAAATTTCTAGTACCAGCTGCGGATATATAACCAAATACCATTACTAAGCCGCCCCCGTGTTTAACAGTCGGAGGTAAACTGTTTTCTAGCAGCTCCTTATTCGGTTTTCTCCAAACATAAGACTGTCCATCTGACCTAAATATATTGAATTTGCTTTCATCTGCAAATAAAACTTGTTTCCAGAGTTGAAAATCCCTATCCCCATGAAATTTTGCAAATTTTATATGCTTGTTTCGGTTAACCTCGTTTTCTTCCTGTGCTACTATTCCATTCTTCTTTCGTAAGACTATTCGGATACTCTTCTTCTTTTTTCGTAACACTATTCGGATACTCTTCGGATTGAAATTTATATTGAGATGTTGCCAAACTTCTGTTGAGAGCTTGGGAGCGCTCAGGTTTGGATTTTTTTTTTGATTTGCTGCAATATCCACTGCTTATCTGCAGCCGAAAACAACTTCGGTCGTCCAGACTTCTTTTTGTTTTCCACGGATTTTGTTTGTTTGAATCGTTTAATCACGTCATGCATAGTCGAACGGGGTCTGCTTACAATTTCTGCGATTTCCCGAATGGTTTTTCCTATTTCAAAATGACTAATAATTAACTTAGCTTTGTTCACGCTGTCTACCCATGTTTAAACTATTCACCTTTTTTTTCAAAGAAAATTACTGAAATTTTATTCTAAGCTATTACGTTTGATTATATACATACACGGTGTGTCCTAAAAATAATCGAACTTTATATTTAAATCATACAACATACAGCGCCATCTATTGAAAATTTGCAACATTAAAAAGATACATTCATCCTCTTTCAAACGCACCTAACTTCATGTAAGTCGGATGACAGATGTAAAAGTGACAGCCATTTCAATAAAATCAAAAGTGTGCTAACGGTTCAAAAATAAAATGGAACAAAGAGCAAATATAAAATTTTGTGTCAAACTTGAAAAAAAAATTAATGAAAAAAGTTTATTGTGATGATTGTATGAGTCGTACGCAAGTTTATACGTGGTTTACACGATTTAAAAATGGTCGTGAGGATTTAAATGACGACCCTAGAGCAGGACGTCCAGAAACTAGTAATCGTGCTGAACTGATGGAAAAAGTCCGTGAAATCATTGGTATCGATGCAAATTTTACTACGAGAATGTTGGCTGAGGAATTGAATACGAGTAAAAACACTCTTTGAAGAATTTTAACTGAAGATTTAGGGAAAAGAAAGAACTGTGCGCGATTTGTTCCACATGAATTAAATGACGACCAAAAAATCGCTCGAATTTTTAATGAATTTTTAATGAAAAGAGGGATTTCTCTCATCGACCATCCTGCGTATTACCTGATCTATCACCATGTGACTATTTTTTATTTCCAAAACTGAAAACCAAGTTGAAGGGAGCATTTTATGATGATACCCCAGCCATTCAAGCAGCCGTAACCGAGGTACTGAAGAATATTTCTATAAATGACATAAAAAATCTATGCATGCGCTGGTTGAACGTTCCAAACGTTGTGTTGAGTCAAATGGAATCTCTTTTGAATAAATAATAACTTTCAAAGATAATATAATGTGTATTTTATTTTAATCCAAAAAGTTCGGTTATTTTTGGGACACACCGTGTATGTATCTTTAAACGAAAACAAACTCATTGTGGGACGCCCTTTTTTAAATCGCCAAGCAACTGTAATATTACCAGGTGTCCGACTTCTTTTTTGGCGAAATTTTTAGCATGCCACATGTTCATTTTTTGAAGCAAGGGTAAAGGAGACCTGTAAACTATTTAATTTATTTGTTATTGGTATTTTTTTAAATCCTTATTTGATACCCTATAGAAATGTAAAAAAAAACAAAACACTTAATATTAATTGATTAAAAAAAATGTAGCTTGAAGCTGCATGCTAATAACAGTGGCATGTATGATATGTCCGAGTTCTTTATTGAGCCACTGTATGTAAAATATACTACTTACATACATGTACGTGTATATCCTTTTGTTTGTTAATTTAATTATTGTTTCGTCTGAATTCGTAATCGACAGTTCTGTTCTTGATTGGTATTTTGTGTTGTTTTTGTCCAATGCTTATTTTTATTCATAATACATTAAGCAAAAAAAAACAAAAAAAAAAAAACAAAAAAAACTAAATACATACATATTTTATACAACAGTTCTAGTATATCTAAGGATTCACTTGACCCGCCCACAGACGATGAATGCCAATTTTGGCCGATTAGGTAAAAAAAATACAGAAAATGCTTTTATACAATATAAAGAATTAGAAATAACAAAAAGTAGCATATAATGTAGTTAATGTATAATTATTTAGTAGGTAAATATTGGACGGTAGTCTAAACTTTAAATACTAGAAAGCTCACTCGAGAACCCAACAACACGCTAAGCCAAACTTCAATTGGTCCGACAATTTCGAACATATAAAAATTGGTTAAATTTCAGATGTCTCATGGGTTGCTGATCTCACGCTGTCCAAAACACACTACAAATTATTTATGCCTCATTTGTGAAGAATCGGTAAAGTGTTTAGTTGTTGTACCGCGTAGTAATTGTATTTACTGTTGCACATTAGAGATATGTAACTTCACCAAACTAAATATTTATCTGTTTCTTGTGAGTTTTCGTACTCGTTTCATTGTGTGTGTTTTTTTTTTGTATGTAGTGTAGTGTAGTGTGTATGTAGTTAGTTTCTATATTACAATATATGTGCAAAATTCCCTTTTCGCACGATCTGGTTTTTAGTCGTAGTATTGATTAATGGACATTTTTCAAAAATCACTTATCGCCAGAGAAATTCAACAAAATTTACTGAAAATTATATTTTCAGAGTTGACCATCAATATGTTGACAAGACCCAAACGAAATATCAACCTTGGGACGGTACGAATAAGACGGAAGATGAAAAATTAACGGCTTGGATGGTCGCCGAAAACGGTAGGTTCTGTAATATTATATCAGGTGTACAACTTTGCTTCCGCCGTTTTCCGATAGGTGGCTGACTGTACCGGCTGAGGCTGGTTGAAATACATAGATGATAATGCCTTTAAAGTGAGTGTGGACAGTGACTAACGAATTGTCATCGCCGTTTCAGTGACAGTTGTTCTTGTTTTTGTATTATTCACGCTCAAAAAAGGTCCATTTATGTGCCTCATTCCCGCCATTTGCGGGAAGTTTTACTTTTCTGTTACAATTCGAAAAAAATGCAGCTGAAGCGCATCGAATGCTCTCAGAAACTTACGGTGATGCTGCTATGAGTGAAAGAACGTGTCGGGAGTGGTGTCAACCTTTTAAAAATGATGATTTCGATGTCGAAGACAGACATGGTGGTGGAACAGAAAAAACCTTCAAAGATTTACTACGAGCTCTTAAAACCGGATGAAACAATCACAGGAGATCGCTACCGAACGCAACTGATGCGCCTTAGTCGCGCGCTAAAAGAAAAGCGGCCACAAAATCAGAAGCGACATGACAAAGTTATCCTCCAACACGACAATGCTCGGTCTCACGTCGCAAAAGTGGTCAAAAAGTACCTGGAAACGCTGTAATGGGAAGTCTTGCACCACCCGCCGTATTCCCCAGATGTCGCCCCTTCTGACTTCCACCTACTCCGTACGATGGCACACGGCCTGGCAGATCAACATTTTCCAACCTTGGAAGAATGGCAAAAATGGATTGCTTCATGGATAGCGTCAAAAAAGGACTCCTTTTTTCGAGCCGGGATCCGGAAATTGCCGGACAGATGGCAGAAAGTTTTCGCTAGCGAAGGACAATACTTTGAATAATATATCTGTAAGCACTTTTTCGCAATAAAGCTTTTAATTTTGGAAAAAAAGGGCGGAAGCAAAGTTGTACACCTGATAACAAAATTCATAATAAATATTTTTTTTTTTTATTGAGTTTGAGTAACAGTTGGCTTTAGGATCTTAATGGAGCGCTGGAGATTCGAATAGATATAAACTCTTAATGCAAAAATAATCCTGCTAGAATATTATTTGATAAGGATATACAGTTGCATAGAGCAAAAAGAAATAATTATAGTAATAGTTATTGAGAGGAAGGAATGAATGGCGCGCTCTTGTTAACTCGGCTTTAAGCGGTGTCTACGCCAGTACAGAATGAGAAGAACAAGAATAATGCTTATTGAATAAATACTACAGTTTGAACATAATTTTTAAATTTTATTTTTATTTCGATTCTCTTAAGTAAATTGGTAGAAAAAATCTTAAAGTACATTCCTTTCTGAACTACAATAGTATAAAAAATCGTTCAACAAACGATGGAAACAATGTAAAAAAGTGAATTTCGCAGCCGAACTGTTGAGCTTTGTCAAAGATTTTACTTGCTGTTTTCTTTGAGAAACATGTCTTAGTTTATCAGGAGTTATTAGTGGTTATAATAAGCCCAACGGCTACCCAGCCTCCAACCAATCGACAGGAGGAACGCCATCCGCATGGCCAAAGGGGCAATCGTTTACTAAACGTCGAGGTTTAAAGGTCAGCTATAGACAATGAAATTCTACTGTTGAAATATAGGATTATTTATATTACCATGTAAAACTTAGTGAGTTTTTAAATAACAATTGCAACCTTGACATAAACGGCAAAATGTTTCATATAATTCAAAATTTATTTTCCTTTATTTTAAAAATAATGATCTAAACTGTCGTGAAAATCGAAATACGTGAAACAATACGATATATTTCTCTTTCCATGATTAAGGAGATAAAAACCGAATCACTGAAAGAACTCAACCACTTATGTATATCGGACTGCTTTGGGGTTTAGAGAGAATGCTACCGATAGTGTACTACATACAAATGTATATATATTAAGGGAGACTACTTTGAAGGGAGGAAAATGGAATTTAAGAATAAATATTCCCTAAGAAAATTTAAAAAGCATCTAATTTCTTTTATTTGACATCGTCTATGCATTACTTGTACTGTATAACTTATTTTTAAAATTTAAGGGAAACCTCCCCTGATTTTGGATCAAAAAATCGATTTTTTTCACGCAAAAAATGAAAGCCATATATTTGTAGAGTATGTGTTTAAAGAAATTTCGCAATGCGATGAATATTTTTTTTGCAAAGGTCAGCTTCTCGACCTGTCTCACGCATGCTGCGAGACTTTCAAAAAACTTTGAACCATGTTTTCCGATCTAACTTCTAGCCCCGGGTTTGATTTACCGTCTAATTTCTTTTATCTAAAAACTGTTTCAAAGTATATAGTTCTTTGTACGTCTTGAACCAAAAATTAGCATTAAGAAATTTATTATTTATTTTTAATTATTATTATTATTATTTTTAGTAGCAAAAAATCTAACTTTTTAATTTCAATGAGCATTCTATTGGATGAGTGCATAAGTTCGTGCCCGATTCCGCTGGATGCCGTTCGAATCGTTTGAGAGTGGCGTTCGTGAAGGAAATATATACATATAATGTTATATATCGTTGGAAAGGTGACAGTCCGAACTGTAAACTCCAGCACTCCGCACAGTAAAGAAATGGTTCGCGAAATTTCGTTCTGGAGATTTTAATCTCGAAGATCAACCTCGCAGTAGACGGCGTTCTGAGCTTGATGACGATGTTCTAAGGACTTTAGTTGCGAATAACTCACATATTTCAACGGAAGAGGTTGCCAGTGAATTGAACGTCAACAAATCAACTGCGTTTCGTCGTTTAAAAAAGGTTGGGTACACTTTGAATCTCGATACATGGGTGTCACATCAGTTGAGTGAAAAAAACCAAGTGGACTGTATGTCAACAGCAATTTCTTCGCTTCGACGGATCAAAAACGAACCTATTTTGGATCGGCTCGTGACTGGTGATGAAAAATGGATCCTGTACAACAATGTTCAACGCAAAAGAACATGGAAACAGGCACACGAAGGGGCGGAACCGCTGTCGGAATTCGGATTGCATCCGATGAAGGTACTGCTGTGCATTTGGTGGGATATCCGAGGCGTGATCTATTTTGAGCTCGTGCCAGCTGGATAAACAATCACTGCCAACAAGTGTTGTCAGCAATTGGTCGAATTGAAGAAATCAATTGATGAAAAACGTCCGATTTTGGCCAATCGCAAAGAGGTTCTTTACCATGATGACAACGCCAGGCCACATGTTGCAAAACCAACCCTGGTCAAACTGAAGGAGATGAATTGGGAAATCATGCCGCATCCCCCATATTCAACCGACATTACACCTTCTGATTATCATTTGTTTCGCTGCAGAACAATTTGAATAGAAAAAAATTAAAAATGTGGAAGACGTCAAAAACCACCTTGACACCTTTTTCAACGAGAAACCGCGCGATTTCTATGAATCAGGCATCCGTAAATTGGTCGAACATTGGGAGTGGATTACCGAACATGATGGCGAATACATAATTGATTAATAAAAGCGCTTTCTTCAAAAAATTTCAACTTTAGTTTGCACTTGAAATCGGGCACGAACTTATGCACTCATCCAATACAATAAATTTATCGTTAAAATTGTTTCAAGTGAAGTATAGCACGTAGAAAATTTCATGATCTTCAAGTAATGACAACGATTTTTGATTTCAGTCTACTACAAGAAACTGTACGCTTGAAGTTACTGGGCCATATTTCTTCGCGCAGAGACCGACAGAAAACGCAATTCTGTAGCCGTAATTTTGAATTTCGACTATTTTTTTTTGCCGTTTTCAGTATTTCTCAAATGATAAAAAAATTTCATAGTCAAAACCAGAAAACCTTTTCATTTTCCCACAAAAATAAAAAAGAAATACAGACTTTGCCTGATTTTTGGCCAATATCAGGACTCCCCCTGCTTTGTTTAGTTTGTCATTCCATAGAATTGAAGCCAAACGACCATCAAGCGCATCTTACGTTCGATGAATGGACCCAAAAACCTTGATGGTACAAAATCCCGATTGTGTAAATGAGTACGTTAATAGATAAAATTATCCTGTGTTGAGGATGTTGGGTAATACACAAGCCATCATTAAGACGTTACAAGCTCATGAGCTCACTGTCTGGTGTGCTTTGGTCCATATTTCATCAGAAATGAAATCGACCATAATGATACAGTCAATAGAAAACGCTACAGAGCCATGATGTATGACATTTTCGTACCTGAAGTAGCGGATGTTGCTGTGGATGTCGTTCGGCTCCAACAAGACGACGCAACATGTATAATACACCGCACGAAGCAATCAAGCTACTAAAAGAAACTTTGGCGAGCGCATTACCGTCGTGCATTTGGTGCTTGGCCTTCAAGATGGTGCGATTTGACGAAGCCAATGATGACTGGATACGAAACTCTTTATTACGCGAGAGCGCTCAAAAATCCGGATTTTTTTTATAACATTTCTGAACAGTGACACTGTGATAGAAAAATGACTTCTTTGGATTTTTAGGTATATTTTAGGTACTTTACTACAAACAACGGTGTTTTTAATTGCAATTTCACTAAAATATTTCACTGAGAAACAATAAAATATTTAAACTATATTAAGTTATAATAATAAAATTACAATAATTTTTTTAATATTTACTGCTGAGGCAAATTTCTTTGGAAGCAAAAACAACGAATTTTTTTATTGGCATAGTGGCACTGGTGCGTTTTGCACATTAGATGTTAAATGTTCCCCGATATGACACTGCCGCCAACATTAGCATGTGAGATGGGGTAACGCTCTCAGCTGCAGTTTGAGTGATTTTGAGTAAGTTTCGTATCTAGTCAGCTTTGACAAAGCCTAACTATTTTTCCATGACTACGTGAAGTCGTTTCTCCAAGACAATTGACGCCTTGGGAAAAAAGTGGTCGTTTATGACAATTTATGCGAGCCATCCGCGAAGGTCCTCTTGCACGAAATGACCTTTAAATCATATTGGCTAACCTTGATCTGTCATATTAAAGCTTCTAGGTCATAACATTAAATTATATAAGGTTTCTTCTTCTTGAATACTACAATTATTAAAAAACACCCTTTATTACATATGTACTTATGCATACTTTTAATATATTTTTCTATCTCTTTCAGGTTCTTTGCTTGAGAAGAAGATACTGAATGGTCTCAACGACAGGAATAATGCCGACTGGAACACAACGTACCTTAATTATTAGATGAAGAGAGAAAAAATGAAAAAAATTTTTAATTAATGCAAACAGAAAAGGGGGTGTAAGGACTGAAAAAAAAATGTGTGGAGGAAGTTGTGTGAATTAAATCGTCATACAAATGATTGTGCTGTGATAATCTTAATAGAAATTCTAAAATTCAAATAAAATATAAAAATTAAAGGAAAGAGTGAAGGAAAATTAATAATAAATAATTAAGCAGAAGTTTAAGATAATTGTAAACAAAAAAAAAAAATAATAAATAATAATAATAATTACTAACTATAAAAGGGTTGCATGCAGCAAGCGCGTAGCTATAATAAAATGTGTGTACAAACTTACAAAAATTAATTATTTATTAAATGTTATTAAGCATGAATTTANAAAAAAAAAAAAACATGCATGTGTGTTAGTATTTGTAAATGTGTACTTGATTTAATTACGAAAAGTGTAAAATAATAAACACGAAAATACGAAATCTACATATATATGCATATACCTAAAATGTGTACATATGTATGTAATTACGTATGTGACTAAATAAAAGAAATCCAACTGCATTATTTACTGGGCAAAGTTGAAAGTAGTGCTTCGTGCCACATTCGAGTAAAAAAAACTTATTACATACACGTACATATAATTTCCTAATTTTCCTTTTTATTACCGCTATAATCCAAGTCTGTGTGCATGTGTGTCTGCTATGTGTGTAGAAATGTGATATTATTAAAACAAATCAAAAGTTTTACTTTGACTTTTAAAACTTAATTCAACTTCAATTGTTTACTTTTTATTGCACATTACATATATCATACATATGTATGTGTGTGTGTGTGTGTACTTGCTAAACCAGCTGATTTTACCAAGTGACCAAAAGAGTCGTCACCGCTGAAAACTCTTGACAGTTACCAGCTGACTGACTTTCGGATTGTCTACGAATTTGATATCCCCCTTTGATATCCAACTGTAACATTTCCTTACGCTTTGTACGTTTGTGTGTGTAGGTGTATGTATATATGTGCACCTATATGGATAATTTTTAAGTTTTCTGAACTGCAGTCCGCACAAGAGAAATAATATTTACATAATTACATAATTTTTCCATTTTATTTTTATTCATCATACCAAAAGTACAAGAGTGGCCCTTAAAGTCCGAAAAGTGGCAAGGCTAAACGAGCAAAAATTCTCAGTAGAGTTAAGTTTTCCAACACGCATAGTTATAAAAGCTTGACCTCGTTGTTGTTGCGAGTATAATTTCCTAATAAAATGTGATTTACCCTTTTCCAAGCTCACTTGCAGTGGTCACGCTGCTCGGCAAGCTATAAAAACACGAGTTGTGTTGCAGTGTCATACGCTGACGGCAACGCCCTCAGAGCGACTGGAAAACACCTCCAAATTCTAGGTGATTTGCTTCAAAATGAACTTTCCACAGTTGGTAACTGTCGCAGTAAGTGTGCGCTCAAAAGAACGAATTGGTACTCCACATCAGAAGGTACTAGACTGGATCAAAGATTCTTAGCCATCTTCTCGTAAAGTGGGTTGTGGAGTTTACTCTAAACATTTTCTTTTATTCGACATGAGCAAGAGACTTCCGAATCATTGCAGAGTCTTTTAACGGAAGCTTCATGGTTACATAACTCATCTCATTCGCGACTTGGCTCACTCTTGACAGTCATAACTTTGAAGTCGCAGATAATTTGGTCTATCTAGGAATCAGTATTAAGACCAGTAATAACATCAACCTTGAAATCCAGCACAGAATCACGCTTGTCAATAGGTGCTACTTTGGACTGAGTAGGATATTGGAAAGTAAAGTCCTCTCCCAAAGAACGAAGACCAAACTCTACAAGTCCCTCATCGTTTACGTCCTGCTATATGGTGCGGTAGCATGGACTGATGAGTCCGCGTTAGGAGTTTTCGAGAGAAAGGTTTTGCGTAAGATTTATGGTTCTTTGCGCGCTGGCAACGGTGAATATCGTAGACGATGGAACCAAGGGCTGTACAAGTTATACGGCGACATTGATATAGTTCAGCGAATCAAGAAGCAGCGGCTATGCTGGCTAGGTCATGTGGTTCGAATGGATGCGAAAATTCAGGCTGGTGGAAGTAGAAGAAGAGATATACTTCCACTTCGCTGGGAAGACCAAATAGAGAAGGAGTTGGCGGCACTTGGTATTTCCAATTGGCGCCAAACAGCAAAAAGAAGAAACGAATGGCGCAATGTTGTTAAATCGGTTTGAATCGCGTAAGCGGTGTCTACGCCAGTAAGTAAGTAAGTAATAACCCGATACTATCTTATGCGAACTCATGGCAGAAAGATGGGCTACTTAGTTACAAGACTTTGGTCGCAGCTGCAGGGATGGATACGAGAAGGAACCGGTGGAACATTACCACTGCCACTGTCCAACCATTAATAATCTCCAGAATTTTATAAAACACACGAGTAAGCTTGCGTCCGCCTAGGCTTCCGTGATCGAGCAAATTTTTAAACTAACTAACTTGTCTGAGCTTGGAGGGAGAGAATGCATAGGAGTTTATGCTTTAAGAAGTAACAATGTAATTTATTCATAGATCCATATGGCTATGGGAGAACCCCGAGATGTCATCTGCATAGAATATTAAAAATAAATAAAATACATAATGGAGTGACTATTCATTCCATATTCTTACCACCCGAACTTATTGGTGAGACTCCGGCTTGCGCGCCAGTGATAACTTAGAGGTGATGCGAGATGATCTTACCTCTTGCGGTTGAAAATGGTGAGGAACTATTGTACCATTTATTCTGTCCGCGTGGGGAATTTATTGAGCGCGGTGGGTTTTTAAAATCGAGCAAGTGAAGTCTTAGCTTAAACCACTTAAGAGCCTGATGTGATTCAGCCGTTTCTGACACTAGCAAGTACCTAAGCCCACAGTCGTGTAAGTTTTAACATTATCTATCCTATACGGCATACATCACCAATTATTCGGCTCCAAGGACCATGTCTAAGCATCCTTTTAGAAGTTGACGCATTGAATGATTCGAGCTTCATATGACAAATTAGAGTTGGTTTTTGATAACTTTATTTACCCGAAAAGTCGCTTTCATGTCGCTGTTACATATATTACCTCAGTGTGAAAATCTGGATAAGTTCCTCGACAAACGGAAACGACTGAAAATATAACGATAAAATGTTTTTAGTATTGAAGATTTTAGACACAGGGATTTAATTGTGTCTTATCTAATTCAAAAGAGAGGAGAATTCACCGAAAGAATAGTTCAAGCGCACGAGCTCTGGAGAAAATAATACGAATCCAGCGTCGAGATATAAATAGAAACATCACAAACGTCTACTGTTTTTATTGATTACATTAGCTTGAACACCCACTTCTATAGTATTGGCATCATCAGACTAGAAGTGAAGCGAAGAGGTCTGTCATCATACAAACGGAAATGAAATTTGCATCGCACGTTGTATAACCTCGAGAATGTAGACAATTTATCGTGGTTATCATGCACTTTTCATCTTCGGCTTTTTGCTCCTATTCACTCTACATTTTCACAAGAGCCTTTTCTTTTTTGCCGCTTTTCAGGGAAACCAGATCCTCATCCTCCTGATCTTTACAAAAGAACGGAGGTAATACTCTTCATATACTTCCATCGGGTTGGTTTGGTATGGAAAATAATCAAGGATGAAGTGTTCACAACCATCCGAACCACATGATCTAGCTCGCATAGTTGCTGTCTCTTAATTCAGTTACGAATGTCAATGTCATTGTATACCTTATACAGGCCCAAAAATCGTTTGCTAAATTTCCCCCTATCAGTTTCGGTGTGGTAGAACACATTTTCTTTAACATTAAGATCAACAATTGATTCGACTACTGATTGGTTGGTTGAAAGATAGAGACTGTGGGCCTAACCCATTGCGGCCGCACCTAAGCCATTTGGCAGGCACATTGTGATCCTCCGTGTATCGCGCGGGTGCGATAAAGCGTAAGGCTGGAACTGTGGAAATCGTGAAAGATGTGATATATCAATCAACTGAAAGTCGAACGTCCGCAAAGGTAATGTTCCAGCGTTTCGTGGCTTTTTTCACGCCACCTGGTGAAGTTACTAGACCTCAAATCTTTCTCTATGTCCAATTTTTTAAACAACATTTGAGGGCGCTGAAGAGTTTGAGGGAGTCGATAGTGACAGCTTGGTGAGTCATCCAGAGTCTGCTCGTTCGCATTTTCTGTGCTCTATAATGCGTTTGACCTCAATCCAAAAGGATATGCACTGTGTTTACCGACTATGTCTCTTTAAATATTCTTAAGTATTTCGACTTTGAGTTGACGCATTTAATTGTCGCTTGACTGTCTACAGAAACCAATTGGATTTTCGCATTCAGATTTGCTATACGGTTCCTTCAGTACCGTCTACAATTTCTGCTTGGATTGCAGTATTGAAGTCATTTAAGCTTGAAGCTTCCCTTGGCTAAAGAGGTGGTCACAGAAGAAGAGCCTTACCTCATATTGAGACCCCTCAATATACATATGTATATATGTATATACTTACAGTCACTGATGGGCTCGGCTTCCGTTCATTATTCCCTACTAGGAAAAGAGTGGATGGTTTCTACCCGGCAGAAGAGTTTCGTTTCTCGGTAAAATTTTACATTTAACCCGAGCTCTGATATAATTTTCTTATTGCCACCAAGTCCTTCACAACTTGGGACTAAACCCAAATTGTATGTCAATTGACCAAATGTCAAGGTTGAATTCTAAGGCCTTTGTTAAGTTAGTCCTGATCGCGGCTGATATATCAAGGAAACAAATATCATGCATCTGTGCCAAGAGTTTTCTTCTGTAATGTCGCCCAACACACTAGTGCTTCATATGTTGGTAAGCCTCTTACGACTCTCTTGTAAAGCTTTTCGTAGCTCTCATATTGACTCTTCAGCAGGTATTCCTAATTCGGAGCACTTTACTAGCACTGCTTTAAATATGTTCCCTTTTTCTAAGTTTTTTATTCAGGATTACCCCGAGGTACTTAATAGAGTTGGAGGGAATTGTAATGATGAGCTTTCCTATTTCTGGTGAAGAAGCATATCTCAGATTTTTTCCGATTTTACTGGGATCCCTTGTGCTTCACCTCAATCAGCTGCACTTTCATGTCAGTCATAGATAGTCTTACGAAAGCGCCTACTTTGAGCCGCAATTGGAAAAGGTAAAAATGCTCCATCACTCTGTTTTGCCGACAAAATCTGCTTCAAAATCTAACATTACGGATTTCAGTGTCCACCACTGTACACACAAAAGTACAGTAAAAATTATATTGTACTACAAACATAACTTTTATTTCCTTTTTTATTTGTTTTTCCGTAAATTTTTTACTTTTATATTCGTTTAAATTACTTAATCGAAAAGTAGCTCCGGAGAACAGGCCTGCCGTTGGATCCGGTGACAATAAACGCGACGGCGCGTTAAATGCAGCTCAATAGGGCAGTACAACAATGCGTGCACCAAAAGGGCAGTCAACGGCTGCATTACTGTCGGGCGGAAGATCGGTTTAACGTGCGCATGCGTATCATATTCGTATTGTGAATTAGAGTACAAGAAGCAACATGTGGGTATAAAAGCGTCTACATATGGCTTAGACGGCATTAGACCCAGCCAAACACTTGGTAGAGCAGCAACAGCAGTCTTAAGGACCGAGTGTGATTAATTGAAGATACAAAAAGAAAAAAAATCGTCATGAAAGCTATTGTTAGTCACAATTTATTATAATTACAATTACATTGAAATGATTTTTAACGGTATTTTTCTACTTTGCAGTACGTAGTCAGCTTACTGACCATCGGCTATTTCATCAACTCGGCCAGCGCCGGCATTATCGGTCATGGCGGTCCTATTGCCATCGAATTGGAGGAGCACAGTCCGCCGCAATATGAATTCCATTATTCTGTGCATGACAGCCACACTGGTGATGTGAAGGATCAGTTCGAGCATCGTCACGGCGACTATGTTACGGGACGTTATTCACTCATCGAACCCGATGGCCAACGTCGTGTTGTCGAATACAATGCAGATCCTTTGTTAGGTTTCACCGCTCAAGTTCATCGCGAATCGCCAGTTATTCGTCAGCTGCCCATACACCATTGAAAATTCTCTACTTAAAAGCGCAGCTGTGAGGCATACATACATACATATATATGGATATGTGTTATTAAATTATATAATAATTTATATGCGTAGAAATTCTCGTCAAGAGCCCTAAAACATTTTATACACATTCACAACTGCAAACATTACTCTAAATAAACATAATCATTTATAATTATGTAAATATTTTGAAATAAATTTCATGCTAACTACCATAAAAAAGCTGTAAAAGAAATCAAATTAATCGAAAGTATAAATACACACGAGCCGACCAATTTCGACGAATAATATGGATATTCAGTAGACCTGAGAATATGACGTAAACTATTTTCATCGCCAAGAACTGGAGCAGGCACTGAGCTATTCGAAAAACTTGTGGACCAATAACATTAATTTGAAATTTGGTACAGAGTTGGCTTTTTGCTTGGACGAGCTGCATAGCCGAGCAGAGAAGGTACAAGTTACTATAGGAATAAGATATCATCATCATCATTGGCCTCAACAATCGCACCGTGAGTTCTGCCTTCTCCAGATTAGATAGTGAAGCAAAGGATATGGGTCTGGAAGTTAAGGAGAGCAAGACGAAATATCCTCATCCACCTGATCTTTAGAACAGAGCGGAGGTAATACTCTTCATATACTACCATCGGATTGGTTCAGTATGGAAAACAATCAAGGATGAAGTGTTTTCAACCATCCGAACCACATAATCTAGCCCGCCTAGCTGCTGTCTCTTAATTCAGTTACGAATGTCAATGGCATTGTATATTTCATATAGGCCCATAAATCGTTTGCTAAATTTCCCCCTTTCAGTTTCGGTGTGGTAGAACACATTTTCTTTAACATTAAGATCAGCAACTGATTCGACTACTGATTGGTTGGTTGAAAGATAGAGGCTGAGGACCTGACCCATAGCGGCCGCACCTTAGCCTTTTGGCAGGCACATTGTGATCCTCCGTGTATCGCTCGGGTGCGATAAGGCGTAAGGCTGGAACTGTGGAAATCGTGAAAGATGTGATATATCAATCAACTGAAAGTCGAACGTCCGCAAAGGTAATGTTCCAGCGTTTCGTGGCTTTTGCGCAATGCAAGTAAAAATTTGGTCTGTATACCAATCACGCCACCTGCTATGGTGAAGTTACTAGACCTCAAATCTTTCTCTATGTACAATTTTTTAAACAACATTTGAGGGCGCTGAAGAGTTTGAGGGAGTCGACAGTGACAGCCCATTGTGTTATCCCGAGTTTGCTCGTTCGCATTTTTTTTGCTCTATAATGCGTTTGACCTCAATCCAAAAGGATATGCACTGTGTTTACCGACTATGTCTCTTTAAATATTCTTAAGCATATCGACTTTGAGTTGACGCATTTAATTGCCGCTTGACTGTCTACAGAAACCAATTGGATTTTTGCATTCAGATTTGCTATTCGGTGCCTTCAGTACCGCCTACAATTTCTGCTTGGATTGCAGTGTTTAAGTCATTGAAGTGTGAAGCAAAGGATATGGGTCTGGAAGTTAAGGAGAGCAAGCCGAAATATACCCAGCCATAAAAAAACAGTAGTTGCATTTGCAACTTGACTTCCACGTCACTGTTGAGAATCATAACCAACCAAGTCGGCCTGGAAACACAACGCGTAATCACTCTTGCCCCTCTCGCTTAACAGAGATCCAGACAGCGACAGAGACCTGGAATTCATTGAAAATGAAGAAAAGGTGCAAAATGGTGTATGTTAAGAAGTTTGCGGGAAAAAATTACCCTTTTAATTTGGGAGATAGCGTTTTCATTCAGCTTTTTTTGTCGTTTAGACACATTTTCCATAATTAGGTTCAAATTGTTATGATTTCATAAACAATCTTTCGATGCTCTATATATCAGGTGTACAACTTTGCTTCCGCCGTTTTCCGATAGGTGGCTGTACCGGCTGAGGCTGGTTGAAATACNAAAAATAAAAAAATTAAAAATTAAAAATGAAATGAATGAAAAATAATATAAAATAAAGGTAAATAAAATAATTAATAAATACAAATCGAAAAAGAACTATAAAATTCCTGAAAAAAAATAAAATACTTTAAAATGAATTAAAATAAAGTTAAATAATATAAAAATAAATTAAATTAAGTAACATAAAGTAGTAAAAAAAAAAATAGAAATAAAAAAATTAAAAAATGAAGTAAATAAAAATGAAAATAAAATACTACAAAATGAATGGAAAATAAAAAAATAAAAATTAATAAACGAAAAAATATTAAATAAATATATAAAAGATAAAAAAGATAGATAAAATAAAATGAAATTTACTCTAATTAAATATAATATAAAGTATTTTTAAATAAATTAAATAATTAAATAAAGTAAAATAAATATGTAGAATGTCAGCTACCATTCAATATATATGTATACTTCGCGAATATGTCTAATGCAATCTGATATCGATATGTTTTCCTCAGCATGGCGCTTAGCAAACTGGAATGTATACAAAATCTGATGAGTCGGTATTGTGAGTTTTCGAGAGAAAGTTTTTTTACGCATTGGCAATGGAGAATATTGTAGTCGTTGGAGTTGTAGCTGTAAGAGATATATGGCGGCATTGACATAGTACAGCATTGGCTAGGACAAATGGACCAAATGGTAGAGAGAATGGAGTGTGCTCTTTGAAAATTCTCGATGCCGTAGTAGCAGAGGAAGAAAAAGACGTTCATCCCATTGCAAAGATCAGTTGGAGAAGACCTCAAATGTACTTAGTATTTTCAAACATATGTATGTATATATATATATATATATATATTGGGCGCTTTGGGACCGCTGAAGCGGTCTTCGGCCGAGTTCCTTCTACAATTTGTGGTATTGCCTCTTGATATTTCCCCAACAAATGGATGGACCTAGAGTTTATACTAAGCCGCCTCCGAACTGTACTGTTGTTAACTTAGCTATAATTTGCCTTTATGCCAATAAAAAAGTACATGAAATGAATGACGTAATGATCGATGAATTAAGAAAAATAAGTTTTTTTTTTTGGAAGAAAATTTACAGTTTAAGGGTCTTAAAAATATTTTGTCAGAATCCTGATTCCTTCGATCACAACCTGACCAAATAAATAATAAAAATATATTAATATATAAAAATGAATGTTTGTTTGTTAGAGACGCTAAGGCGGTACCAATCTTGATGAAGTTTTCAGAGGTTACACCTAGTGGATCTGGAAAGGTTTAGAAGTGAAAAAACCTTATATTTTTCTCGAGAAGAAGTCAGAAAATTGAAAAATTCCAGAGAGTGACTTTTTTCCATACACATTTTTTTTTTTAAAATTTTTTTTTTTAATTTTGTGCTTTTTTTCTGATTTGTTTATTCGTTTGTTGGCGAATATACCTAACCTCATTTTAATTGGAATTTATTTGTGTTACTTCTCCAGCTGATTTATAAATTACCGGAAGAGAAACCAAAAATTATTGTTTATCAAGCTGCAAAACATTAAAAAAATAATTTTTGACACAATATAAATTCAACTTTCTTTTCTTTTCAAAAAATATAATTTCCCGCAGGACAACGCAGGTCTTTTTATGTGGTCCCAAAAGAAGAAGTCGCAACGTGTTAAATCACAAGATGTTGGCGACCAATTGCGATCATCTTTTCGAGAGATAACACGATCCGGAAACTAAAAATTCATTAATAATTTCTCGACAGCGCAATTCATTTATCGTAACTGTTGATTCAGCCATATTTTCGTAAAAGAAAGTTCCAAAATTACCCCGCCGTACCGTGAACCGTACCGAAAAGTTGCACGTTGAAGTTGGCGAGTCTTTTCAGTAATAAATCTTGGATTTTCCGGGCGCCAGAAGAGATAATTTTGCTTATATGTAGACGTAGCCATCGAGGTGGAAATGTGCTTCATTATGTGTAAAAATTATTTTTTGATAAAAACTCCGTATCATTTTCATGCATTTCTAGGACTCAATCAGCAAAGTCATGATGTTATTGATGATCAGCCGGCTTGAGTTATTGTTTTAACTGAACTTTATAAGACTTAAGACCCAAATAATTATCCAAAGAACGTCTAGGAATGTACAAACCTGAGTTGTCTTCAACATTTTGAGCTACAGCAGCAATATTCTCACTTGTTCTTTAGCGACGTGCCCCTGTTTTATTCTTCCAGGCCTATTCTCACTGTTACCGGTAAAGTAAATTTTGTTACTTTTCTTTAACACCCGATATTGAATTTGGTTTTCTGGCGAATTGGTTACAATGTTTGAAAAAAAACTTGGCAGCACTGCTTTTTTCGTCCATGTCAAATTACATTTGACAGTTGATAAAGTAAAAAGAAAAATATTCACATCGAAATGGAAGACGGTGCAAAAAGAATTAAAAAGTTTTATTAATTTGTTTATTAAATCATAAATATTTGAACCTAATTATGGAAAAAATGCCTGGACAACAAAAAAAAAAGCTGTATGAAACGATATCTTACAAACTAAGGGGCTATTTTTTGTCTCGAAAACTTCTTAAAATACGGCTTTTTGCACTTTTTTCTTCATCTTCAATGAATTCCAGGCCTAAAATATGCCTTCCCATTTTGTTTTTTTATTTTTTCTCAAGCTTACAACATAAAATCAAACAGCAGATATTTTTGTTACCTCCTATTTCGCTGGTAACAAAATTTACAGGGTAACAGTGAGCTCAGAATACGAAATGGTAACAAAATTTATTGAATGGTAAATTTTAATACTTAGGTAAATTTAGGTAACTCAACAGAATAGGCCTGTTCACATGACTAACTTGTACCAACACCTCCATTTCACCATACCATTTTTAATATTGGCGTAGTTTTTAATTGTCAAATGCCAAAATATTACAGCTTCAAAAGTGACTTCTACCGGAAAACAGGCTATTCAAAATAATACCTCTTAATGGAAGACCATTTCTAAATATTTTTCACGATTACCAGTGGATATAACTCTTTCCCGTATGCCCATTCATTTATAGAAATGTTCTTCAGTACCTCGGTTACGGCTGCTTGAGTGGCTGGGATATCATCATAAAATGCTCCCTTCATCTTGGTTTTCAGTTTTGGAAATAAAAAAATAGACACATGGTGATAGATCAGGCGAATACGGAGGATGGTCGATGAGAGAAATCCCTTTTTTCATTAAAAATTCGTTCAAAAATTCGAGCGATTTTTTGGTCGTCATTTATTTCATGTGGAACAAATCTCGCACAGACCTTTCTTTTCCCCAAATTTTCAGTTGAAATTCTCCAAAGAGTGTTTTTACTCGTATTCAATTCCTCAGCCAAGATTTTCGTAGTGAAATTTGCATCGATACCAATGATTTCACGCACTTTTTCCACCAGTTCAGCACGATTACTAGTTTCTGGACGTCCTGCTCTAGGGTCGTCATTTAAATCCTTACGACCATTTTTAAATCGTGTAAACCCCGTATAAACTTGCGTACGACTCATACAATCATCACAATAAAAATTTTCATTAATTTTTTTTCAAGTTTGAGACAAAATTTTATATTTGCTCTTTGTTGCATTTTATTTTTGAACCATTAGCACACTTTTTGTTTTATTGAAATGACTGTCACTTTTACATCTGTCATCCGACTTACATGAAGTTAGGTGCGTTTGAAAGCGGATGAATGTATCTTTTTAATGTTGCAAATTTCCAATAGATGGCGCTGTATGTTGTATGATTTATATATAAAGTTCGGTTATTTTTAGGACACACCGTGTATTTAAATATTTTTTCAGTGCCTCAACAACACAAATTCCCGCCGTAATATAAAAAGTTTGAAATTTTGTATTTGCATTTTAGTTTTATTTAAAATGCCTTAAGTGCCTTCCTATACAATAAGTTTTAAACGTAAACATATTTCAATAAACATATAATAATTTTACCGTTAAATGCAGTTTAAAAAGCAGTATTTACAAAAAAAAAATTTTTTTTCCGGAAGGAAGCCAAATTTAATTTAAATTGAAATAACTTCAAAATTTTTGGTTGGTTTTGGCGGAATTGGGGGCTTAGGGACCGGTTGTTGAATTTTTTTGATTAGTAGAATATTCTATATGATGATTTCATATGTCAAATGTTATCGGGTTTTTTTGTGTAGAATGTGTCGAATAGATGTAGACGTGTCCATAAGAACTCACTTGACAGAGTCCTTCGATATTTAATATTAGTTGTTGTTGTGACATAAGAGTGTTTAAAATTTAAATATGTGTTGTTGTATTAAGTGTTTTGTGACTTTTGCGTGAGCGCATTACAGAGTTTTCAACTTAAAACGGTGAGTCTATAAATGTACTATTTAATAACTACAAGTAAATACGATTGATTAGTAAGATGTTGTATTGCTTAGTGATTTCTGCATGTTTTGGTTGTGTGACAATGCATTGGCTGACTTAGCACATTTCACTGGTCCATTATGAAATTGTGATGGTTTGTATTGGATATTTATTTGTTTGCTTGGTTGGTTGTACACGATCCTGATTAATCTACATACATATATATTTACATGGTCTATGGTAGTCTGAAGCTCGCTGCCGTCTTAGTGTTGTATACCCAAAGAGAGCAATGGCAATTTCGGTGCAAGAGCAATGGGTGTAATCACCTTGGCAATAGGTGCGATAGCCTTGACAACCTTTTGGCCAAGTGGATCACGTCGCACCACCGCATTGAAACCGTTGTGTGCATCCGATGTATAGTCAACAGTACGCAAATAGCCATCAGCATCGATTAATGAATATTGTCCTTGTACAACATCGCCTTTACGTGACTCCGTTTGGCTCTTAATGTCGCCAGTGTGATCATCACGCACCGAATAGGAGAACTCATAGTGGGCTGGTGCTTCCACTTCGACTGTCTTAACGAGCGCTGGTTTGAGCAGGAGCGGCGCATGTCCTAATTCAATGGCGCTGGCGGCACCCAAGCCGATAATAAACAAACCAAATAACTGAGGGGAAGGATATTATTTATACAATTCATAATTGTTATTTAAAAAAAATATATATATATGTAATGTATATCTAAACTTACGGAGAACATTTTTGTTGTGAGATATATGTACAAGTAAAGGATTTAACTGTAATTGAAAATAATTTGTTACTGTGGCTGCTGCACTGTTGCCTTATAACTTTTCTACAACTGTTTGGTGTTTTGTACTCGTGGAACTCCTCAGCTGTACTATGATTCTAGTCAATAATTTGCGCACTTTTATATGTGTGATCGACCGTATCGCCGCCTGCAGTTGGCTAATACAATGCAGGCGTGGAAGTAGTGAGCCAAGTATTTGAATCTCTTTCCTCTTATTCCGCTTGGTGTTAGCGAAGTCAAAGGTATATGTGTGTATGTGTGTACGTTATAGACTTAACCGAACATTTCCACGTACCAAAAACGCCGGTATCGAGTTTACATTTGATACTTTGATACTTTTCGTTTGTTTACAAAAATATCGTATATGTTTTTAATTTTTAATATTACATCTATTTTTTTCTGTTTAATTTTGAATTCTACAAATTAATAAATATTTTTCGATTTTTTATACATATTTACATATATATGTATATATGTACGCACATGCGTCTACATTTTTTATCAAAAAGTTCAAATCGTTCATATCAATATTTTTACATACAATACATATATAAGTATGTACACGTATGTATGTATATGTGGGCATGTCGAATGTATTGCCAAAAAGCTTGTTTTGCTTATCGACTCGCGTGTTTTTTTTTATTTTTGTATTTATCTCTCCTCTAGTTTTTCATATTTTTTGATATTTTTTTCTAGAATTAGCGCGTGCCGGTGTAAAAGGTTTTTTTTGGTGTTTATTTTCACCTACTGGTGCATACTGAGTTTAGTGCACTGGTCAGCAGATTATTTCTGCCTTTTTGCGTGTTTAGTAGCATTCGAGCGAATTGTGAAATATGAAAGAGCTGAAATATGGGCCCTGATTTTGTGCTGCCTTCGAATGGCGATTGAAATCGTAAGTAACGCTGATTGGAACTTACTTTTGGTATTATGACGCGCCTTCGTTGAAGTATGGAACTATTGTGAATTTATTGAGCTTTTAGGGTTGGTTCACAATGTTTTTTTGTCAGCTGTTACAAATTGAGGAAATTAAAATGGAGAGAAAATTAGAAAGCATGCAATTCGTTGCAAAATTTATATAAATATAATGAGCTTTAAAGTAGTTTAAAAATACTCCAAGGATAGACTGTGTAATACCGTTTCTGATACATACACATACACATTTACTATGTACAAAGGAGCATTTTGGTCATATTTTGCTTTATTATTTCTGTAAAGGAAAAAACGCGGAGCAGGTTGATAAAAAGTTACGAGATGTGTACGGTGATGAAGCCTTAAAAGGAAGACAGTGTCAAAATTGGTTTCGCAAATTCCGTTCTGGAGATTTTTCACTTAAAGATGAGCCACGTTCAGGTCGGCCAAATGAAGTTGATGATGACCAAATCAAAGCATTAATCGAATTGGATCGTCATGTAACTGAGCGTGAGATAGGAGAGAAGTTAAATATACCAAAATCAACCGTTCATTATCACATAAAAAGTCTTGGACTGGTGAAAAAGCTTGATATTTGGGTACCACATGTATTGAAAGAAATTCATTTAACACACCGAATCAACGCTTGTGATATGCACCTTAAACGCAATGAATTCGATCCGTTTTTAAAACGAATCATAACTGGAGATGAAAAATGGATTGTTTACAACAACGTTAGTCGAAAACGATCATGGTCCAAGCATGGTGAACCAGCTCAAACCACTTCAAAGGCTGATATCCACCAAAAGAAGGTTATGCTGTCTGTTTGGTGGGATTGGAAGGGTGTCGTATATTTTGAGCTGCTTCCAAGGAACCAAACGATTAATTCGGATGTTTACTGTCAACAATTGGACAAATTGAATACAGCCATCAAGGAGAAGCGACCAGAATTGGTCAATCGTAAAGGTGTCATATTCCACCAGGACAACGCTAGACCGCACACATCTTTGGTCACTCGCCAAAAACTGAGTGAGCTTGGCTGGGAACTTTTGATGCATCCACCATATAGCCCTGACCTTGCACCATCAGACTACCATTTATTTCGATCTTTGCAGAACTCCTTAAATGGTAAAACTTTCGGCAATGATGAGGCTATAAAATCGCACTTGGTTCAGTTTTTTGCAGATAAAGGCCAGAAGTTCTATGAGCGTGGAATACTAAATTTGCCAGGAAGATGGCAAAAGGTCATCGAACTAAATGGCAATTATATATTTGATTAAACTTCATTCTAAGTTTTATTAAAAATGCATTTACTTTCTTTTAAAAAATCCGCAATTACTTTTTGGGCCACCCAATAGATAGCCAAGCGGCCATTACGGTTTGACTTTCACTTTGCATGAAGTCGGCAGTGGTTGCACTAGTTATGTATAGAGGCGATAAAAAGGCTTCCCGAGAAAAGTAGGATTGAGGTCATAAGGGCATCGAAGGTAATGAGATAGCTGATGAACTAACTAAAGAGGGTGCCTGAATTATGGGCTTACCAGCACCACTCAGAGAAGTGAAGCAGACACAAGAAGTAATCCTGCTTTGTTAGACGAATAGACTTTTGGAACGAGCAAAAAGCTGTAGATTAGCGAAAACTACGTGCAAAATATATGATACTAAGCTTATAAAGCTTATGCTCCAGGCTACAAGTAGAACTATTAACGTGGCATAGCATTTTGGCGCCACGCAAATTTTGCTCAAACTAGAGACATAAAAAAGAGTGTCACTGGACATGTCAGTTGATTGAAGTCGAAGCGTTCCAGTAACGTTACGAAGCATTGAAAACGCGTTGGAATCGTTGTATAGCTGCCCAAGGGGACTACTTTAAAGGTAATGGCAGAGTTGTAGAATAATTTTGAAATATACAGATTTTATGGTATCAGTCTCATTACTTCATTGTCACACCTCGTGTACAGTGTGTATGTAGTACCGCCTACGTGAGACTCGCAGTGTCAATCAGTTTAATCTAAACTAACCTAACCTAGCTTCCATGAAAGTGAGTACGATGTAAATCTAATTTGGTAATTCACTGAAAGTTGAATTTTTAATGGTGCTGGCTAAGATTTTTGATTTCTAAATTGCTTCTTCTATATTTTTCATAACCTAAACACCGCTAATACGATTTTAGTCGAATCAAATAGCACGAAATACCAAGTGCAACCAGGTCGATCTCCACCTGAGCCCTCTTTCCTCAGCTCTCTGACTTTTTGTCACCCTGCACGTGTTGTGGTCGAGCGTAGCGTTTGCCTGGCAGGCAGTTTTTTCTCTCCCCACTGCATTTCGACATTCGTCACTGGAGCAGCTTTTTTCTCACACTATTGATGATCATAGAGTCGGTTCGTAGAGAGTTGGCGTTGCTGTTCTACAATTACCTTATATCGATTAGCTGATGAGTGCTCTCTGAGAGCAGTTATGATTGTATCTTTTCGACGTCGAGTCATCCTTGTGTTTGTTGACGGCTGTTCTTCGCTGCATTGGAACGAGCTCGTATCCACGCTGTGAGAAGATGGTGTTCCGAATCAATGTTAGGTACTCGGAACACACATACATGTAGAGCATGGGGAGCTGGTTTCTCTTGGTATGTCTTCCGTCAACCACAATATGATCAATTTGGCTGTGGGATTTTTATTCTAGCCATTTGACTTGATGACTCTCCCGGTGTGCATATCTGGTACTACAGACAACCAGATTTCGGCCCCCGAGCAAGTCGATCAGCCGCAGCCTGTTTTAGAATTCCTCGTCAAAACTATCGTTTTTGCCTATCCTACGACTTTGGTCTTTGAAATTTTATATTGCAATATTTTTACAATAATATTGTAAAATCATTTCTTTTACTCAAGCTGAAACATACGAGTGTTTGTGCAATGAGAAATGTTCGTGTTGACCAGTGTTGTTTGTGCGTTTGAAAATTTAAATCCCACTTGCTCCAATTTAAATGTCACACGCTTGCTGCTTGGAGTTGCAAGTTCTGCGTTGGCCAATATTGTTTTACTTAGTAGAAGTAAACAACATTTGATTTCTAATACATACATATACACCCTAATACTATGGTTACAATTTCGTGATTATCGACATTTTAAATATTTATCTCATTAGTAGCAATAATGAATTCAATGATTAATAACATAATAATCATTAAAAATATTTTACATTAATTATTATTAACGACGGACTTGCACCATCCAGCCATCGGCACGGGGGTTGGAATTCACAATTCGTACGGTTCGTTTTATTCCTGAATCAACATTACTAATGTGGGAGAAGCTTGAGTAACATAAGGTGCTTGGGTTCCTTTCACCACGATTAAATTTAGAGTCTACAGTGATATCCAGGTATAGTCATATCAAGGCCAAAGGACCTGTGCTTTCGGAACGATTTAAAGAATTTCAGTATTGCAAAGTTTATTTATTTCTCGATAGTTTTTTTTTCCAAGAAATGCTTCGATTCTTCCTTTTTAAGCTAGACATTAAGTAAGCTATTCAAAGCTAGAAGGTGTTTCATCAGCATCAGTATCATATATCTTCTTCTTCTTTATTGGCGTTAGCACCGCTTACGCGACTATAGCCGAATCAATATTAACACGCCATTCCTCCCTTCTTTTCGCTCACTGGTGCCAGTTGGAAATACCAAGTGAGACCAGATCACTCTCCATCTGATTGCATCGACATGACCTGCCCAGTGTAGCCGTTTCATTCACCGAACTATAAATATATTAAAGCATAGCTCGTACAACTCATTGTTCCATCGTCTGCGGTATTCGCCGCTGCCAATGCGCCCAGGACCATAAATCGTTCGAAAATCTCTTCTCTTGAAGACTCCTAAAGCCGACACATCAGATATTGACATCGTCCACGCTTCTGCGCCATGCAGTAGAACGCGTATGATGAGCAATTTGTAGAGTTTGGTTTTAGTTCGCCGTAAGAGGAAGATGGCGAGAGTGATTTTGCGTTGGATTTCAAGGCTGACGTTATTATTGGTGTTAATACTGATCCCTAGATAGACGAAATTATCTATGGCCTTTAAATTATGACTGTAAACAGATACGTGAGAGCCGAGTCTCAAATGAGATGACTGTTTTTGTGATGACAGCAGATATCTCGTCTTGTCCTCATTCAGTGCCAGATCCATTCGCCTCGCTACTTTATCAAGTCTTG